AGGGCTGGTCCCAGCACCTACTTCTTGTGGTTCACAACAGTTTAACACCAGTTCCCAGAGGCTCTGATGCCTCTGGCATCCTCAGGCACCTGCACTCAAGTACAGATAGTGGCACATATATAAACATAATTTAAAATAATAAAAATAAGTCTTTTAAAGCTCATATCTGTGTTCCTAACTGTGAGTCCTCCTTCCTCCACAAGTGCATCATTTGTAACCCTGGGGTGTCCATCCTGGGAACACCCTAGCACTTAGATAGAAACGCCCGAGTCTACTATTTTATAACTTGTTCTTTTCTTTCTTTTTTTTTTAAAAATTATTTATTTATTATGTATACAATATTCTGTCTGTGTGTGTTTGCAGGCCAGAAGAGGGCACCAAACCTCATTACAGATGGTTGTGAGCCACCATGTGGTTGCTGGGAATTGAACTCATGACCTTTGGAAGAGCAGGCAATGCTCTTAACCACTGAGCCATCTCTCCAGCCCCTGTTCTTTTCTTTTTTAAAATGTGTTTTAATTTGCATTATCTATGGATGTGTGTGTGTGTGTACTGGAATCAGTCTCCTTCCACACGTGGAAGGTCATAGGCTTCATGGAAGGCAGCTTCACCCACTAAACCACCTTGCTCCCCCCATTGCCCCTCACTTTCTCTCAACAGAGTCTCACTCTATAGCCCAGGTGGGCCTTGAACTTGTGATCCTTCTTAGTTTTTTGTTGTTTGTTTAATGACTCCAGTCTCATGTCTCAGCTTCTTGAACAGCTGGCATAAGCCTGGCTTTAAGTTTTCATTTTATTATCATATATGGGGAGGAAGGTATAATTAGTTCCCTCCTTCCACCTTTATGTAGATTCTAGGGATTGAACCCAGATCCCCAGGTTTTCATGGCAAATGCCTCAGACCCACTGAGCAGTCTCCCCCCATCCTGTCAGCTTTTCTTTGAGATTGTCTTGCTAGGTAGCTCAGGTATGAGTGGAACAGAGGCCCTCCTGCTTCTGTCTGCTGGGTTCTACAGTTACAGGTGGAACCACCATGCCCAATTCATTGATTATTATTCAGTTTCTTTTTAATGTAGTGCTAAGGATTGGACCCAGGACCTCATACATCAGAGACAGAAGCTCTACCTCTGAGGGACCAGGAGAGATAGTTTAGCAGTTAAGAGTACCTGATGCTTTTCCAGAGACCCCACCTGAGTTCCACTCCCAGCACCCATGTGAGATAGTCTCCACAGACACCTACCTGCGTGCACACATACCCACTGCATGCACACATACCCACTGCGCGCACACACACATAACTAAAGAGAAGACATTTGTAAAGAGTTCTCCTTCTGAGCTACAGCCTCAGCTTGCTATGCCACAGCCTTTACTGTCTCCTCTGGAAGCAGAGGCACCATGGAACTGTCAGGAATCAGAAATTGCATTGTAGACGGCCAAATGGCCGAGTGAATGAAAGGCCTTGCCTTTAAGTCCAACAAGCTGAGTTCGAGCCCAGAACCCACAGCGGAGGGAGAACATTGCCTCCTGAAAGTTGTTCTCTGCCCTTTTCACGCGTGCACAAATGTGTCAGCACACACAGACATAAATACATTAAAGAGAAAGAAACCCCAGGCTATAGCTGGATGGAATCTCAACCAGAAAGCAGAGGCAAAAACCCAAAGGACAAACAAGACAACAAAAGAATGTACACGGATAGATTAAGATGAGTCTCAGGTGAGTATTTAACCCGTGTGTTCCTCATCTATGGATGGGGACAGTACTAGGGCTGCTGAGACTAACGAGAAGGTAGGGTTAGATAGAGGACCGCACTCCCTGCCCTTCAACTGTGGTGACATCAGCTCACTTGTGCTTTCGCAAATGTTATTTTCTAGCTCTTGTTCATGTCTTTTGATTCAATCCAGAATGTTCTCTATAGCTACCTCCTTCATTTTCTCTTACTTCATTCTATTTTATGTGTAGGAAGTGTTTTCCTGGGGATATTCTATTTTTGTTGTTTTGTTTTGTGAGACAGAGTCTCTCTGTATCTCTGGCTGTCCTAGAACTTGCTCTATAGACCAGGCTGGCTTTGAACTCACAGAGATCCGCCTGCTTCTGCCTCCAATGCTGGGATTAAAGGCGTGTGCTGCCAAGCCTGAATTTGTATGTATCTTGTCTGCTTGTTTGTATGTGCATCACATTCAGGTTGGTGCCCTTGGAAGCCAGAAGAGGGCACCAGATCCCCTGGGACCGGATTTACAGATGGTTGTGAGCTGCCATGAAGGGGCTGCGAATCAAATCCAAATCCTTTGGAAGAGCAGCTGAGCTCTCCAGGCCTTCTCGAAGGCCACTTTTACAATCCTATGAACATGCTGTGTTGTGACACGTGTCTGAAATACCAGCACTTGGGAGGCTGAAACAGAATCCCCAAGAGTTTGGAGCCAGTGTGGTTTACACAGTAAGACCTTATTTAAAAACACAATACCAAATAATACAAAATAACCAAATAATACAAAAAAAATTAAAAAGGAAACCAAATAATACAAAATAAGTAGCTGGTGGTGGCACATTACTTTAATTCCAGCCCTCAGTGAGTTTGAGGTCAGCCTGGTCTACAGAGCGAGTTTCAGGACAGCCAGGGCTACACAGAGAAACCATCTCGAAAGACCAAATAACAAAATAAAAACTACTAATGGCTCTTTAGAGCCCAATCCTGAGTCCTTGTCCCAGCAAGGTCAAGTCCTTTTTTCTCCTTCCTTTTATCCTGCTTAACTCCAGTTGGCCCCTTAGGTTCCCTACACCCAGCAAGCTTCTCTTGACATCCCTTGTAGTCCCATGCAAGCTAAATGCTTTGGACATGGCTCTTCATCAAGTTATAGTTAGCTTGCTTTTATTCCTGCTAAACCGTGGGCTCCCTAAGAGCAGTGACCAACTGACTCCTGTGCCTCAACACCGGGTGCAGTTATGAGAATATAATATGTTCACCACTGTGTTTTCATTAAGTTGCTTTAAAATTTTTTTTCTTTTTTTTTTTTTTTTTTTTTTTTTGGTTTTTCGAGACAGGGTTTCTCTGTGGTTTTGGAGCCTGTCCTGGAACTAGCTCTTGTAGACCAGGCTGGTCTCGAACTCACAGAGATCCGCCTGCCTCTGCCTCCCGAGTGCTGGGATTAAAGGCGTGCGCCACCACCGCCCGGCGAAAATTTTTTTTCTTTTTCTTCTTTTTTTCCCCTGTGCTGGGAATTGAGCATTGAACCTCACTCACACTCACGCTAGGCAAGTTCTTTACCACCGAGCTGCATTTTAAGTCCCTTCACCCACTTTTTTTGAGACTGAGTCTTATAAAATTTGGAATGGCCTCCAACTTGTTATGTGGCTGAAAATAACCTTAAACGCCCACCTGATTGGCCTCTATCTCCGATGTGGGGCTGCGGGTGTGCACACCACACCCAGCTAAAATCGCATCCCCGTTAGTGTTCTCTCTGACAATGTTTACAACCCTCCTGCTGTACTGCATACGTGCCTCTCTTGCCCCTGGATGTAAGGCCACTAAGATACACCTGTCTTCGGTGTACGTGTACTCCCCTGTTAGTGTCAATGCCATTCTCACAGTCAGTGCTCGCTTCCCTCACCTGTAAGATGATTCGATAACAGCAGCTACCCCACAGGATTCTGGAAAGGTTAAGATGTTTCGAACACTTTGCGAAAGTCAGAGTGCAATGCAAGTGCTGGTTTGGGTTTCTGGAAGGAGTTTGGGGGTTGCAGCTATGGGCTAAAGAGAACGCTCTCTCTCTTTCTATCTCTGTCTCCTTTTTAAAGACAGGGTCTCATGTATGCCAGGCTGAGGATGATCTTGAATTTCTAAGCCTCCTGAGTGCAGGTGTGCCCCGCCACGCCTCATTTCTGCAGTATTAAACTTCAAATTCAGGGCTTGCCTTAATTACATTTTGGGCACATACTGTGATAACCAACGTCTGTCAGTTACTAAACTCCTCTGGGCCTCAGCTTCTACCACCCCATTTGTCAAACAGAAATATTAGTGTCTACATTGCTAGGCTGTCTCTGTCAGGGTGATTTCCTCCTCCCACTCACAGAGGCCTGAGCCCTGGACTCATCCTTAGCTTCCCCTTCCTCCTCTCCCTATTCCCTCAGCACCACTCGGTTACCACGGTGGGTCAAGATTTCCTTGAAAATACCCCACCAGTCTTTCCTTCCTCTCTTTCCCACTCTTACTGCCCATTTAGGCTTGTGAGGCCAGACAGCCTCCTCCAGGTTTTGTTCCCCTCGTTGGCTACCACAGTCATCTTTCTCAACCACAACTCTTAGTGAGGCATGTCCCTGCTGGAGAACGGGCAGATATTCTCTGTCGCTTTTCCTACTGATTATTGAAGACTTTTGTCACCCTCTATAACGAACTGATCCTACCCACCTGGCTATGTGCTCGAGAGTAAACGAGAGGCTGTGTAAGCCTATGGCCTGAGTTCGATCCCCAGGACCTGCATAAGAAGCTCGATGCCATGGTGTGCGTCTCTGGTGAGACGGGAAGTAGAGGGGAACATGGTGGAAGCTCATGGGCCAGCTAGCTCGGAGCCACACTGTCCTCCACACGTGCAAAACCTATGTGTTGTGTGCACCTGCACACAGGCATACAAACATACTGGACATGCACACACAGAGGAAAAGTCCCACAGCTGTGCTAGCCTTCTCGCCCCTTCTTTCTTCCCCAACCTCAACACTTTTACTGCTTCGGCTTCCTTATTCTCTGGATGGCCGAGCATTTTGCGGAGGAGGCCTGGGTGTTACAGAGCAGTGTCTGGGTGACAGGGAGAGCCAGCAAATACTCTGTTGTTATTGCAGTTACTATAGCACCACAGAGCCAGCAAATGCTTGCCATCCAGTGGCTGGACATGAGGAATTTAGGCTCACAGGAGTGAGGCTGAGTTAGGCCTAGGAGAAAAGCGCAGTGGTAGACTGGACATGAAGGGTACAGGCCAAGGGGCAGGGGAGAGGCAAACGGATGGTACTCACTGTGCTGTAGTTGCTGAAGAGGCCCAGAGTTGGGGCTGGCTCCAGTGGAAAGGGCAGGATCTGCTTGAGGTCCATCGGGGGCTGCATGATGGGGGGCTGCCGGAGCAGAGGAAGGGGCCCTGCCCGGCTCAGGCTGCCTGAAGGGCAGAGAAAACATTCTGTGGGGTAGGGAGACTGAAGCTTGGAAGCGTCACCCAAATTCATAGCACTACTCCCTAGATGAGGTTCCTGTATTCGGAACTGTGCAGAGTGGGAACCATACACACACTTCCCCTGCTGCTCAAGCGGATCCACTGTGGGCCTGGGGACACAGGCTGGTCTTTCCTTATGGGTGGTTTTCACTTCCCCGTTCTGCAGCCTCTTTCTCCAAGCCCTTCAGGCTTTTTACAGACGCGAGAAGCTTAGACCTGCTCTGGACCCAATCCCCAGCTCCCCGCTCTGGTCTGCAGTTTCCTGGATATCTAGAGGTTTGTTGCATCCCCAGAGCAGATTCAAGTGGGTGACTTATCCCACTGTCCAGAGGGGGACTCTGAAAAGGCTGCTGCATCTGGCTCCCAAGGTTATGGTGCTGTTCAGGTCATAATTCTTGAGTAATTTTCACCATCTTTGGGGCCATTTGCTCTAAGCCTTCGGTAGCCCTCAGTCCAATCAGATTCCTTAGTCTCACCCGGCAGGCAAAGCAGTCCCAGCTCTGCAAGAGGAACCTCGGCCAAAGCCTCTGGGAGAGGAGGGCCTACACGTGACCCCAAGGGGAAATGAAACCTTCTCTTTCCCCCTGGAGTCCTGAAGGACCCAGCTCAAAGGCCCTCAGGACTCTCTCCGGCTTTCTGCTGGCCCAGCTTCCCTCTGAAGAGGCTTCTGTCCACCAGCTGGGCAGTTCCTGCCACCCTCCACTGCTCCAGCGCCCTCTGCCAGCAGCAGGGGTTTCTGGAACAAAGGCCAGACCAAGAGACTGCATGGCTGGCCCTGGACCTCCCTTGACCTTCCTAGGGTAATGGGTCCCCAGGATCCTTTCCTGTTCCCTCCAAAGAGACACCCTGTCATACCTTCAGTAGCTGGTACTTGCTGCCCCCCAGGCAGTGGCCTGGCCCTGGCCCCCTAGGGGCCTGGGCCTGACAGTATCCCCTTCCCTTGCTTCTGCCCTCTGCCCCCTTCCTTTACCATCGCCCCTCCCCCAGCCCAGTCAGAATCAGCCAATCAGAGTCCTGGAAAAGTGGGGCAGAGGGGAGGGCGGGGGAGCAGGGATTAGGGGAATCTGAAGCGAGAGGGAGGGGGTGGGGAGGGCTCAGGCACAGCTGGGGGTGGAGAATGAGGTCCAGAAAGGTCTGGAGGGGTCTGTCTCTTCCACCCAGTGCCAAGACTGGAGGCCAGTGTGCCTGAGGCAGACACAGGTCAAGGCTGCTGGTAGCTTAGTTTCCAAATTCTAAGTCTGAAGGAGATGATAGGATGTTTGCCTTTGGCCTTTGACTGTTGGGGGTCTGAACGTCTCCTGTCCATTTCCTCTTCTGATACTTTACACTTGGAATGCTGTGCGTGTGTGCATACGTGTGTGCGTGCACGCGTGTGCGCGTCTGTGTAGGGGGAGAGAAAGAACATACATGAGAAAGCATGGCAGAAGCAGGAGTGACTGACTAGAAAAGGGACAGACACAGAAAGGCTAAGGGTGGAAAGTGAGAAGGAGTTTAAACCAGCAGGACACTGTTGACAGGCAGGACGAGAGCTAGGTGAGGACAGGAAGACCCCGGGGCAGAGAACAGAAGGGAAGACAGGGACAACCGGGCTGGTTATCTCCTCTTCCTGGTCCCCTGTGCCCCACCCCATCTCACTGCTTGGCACACCGGAGCGCTGTACCGAGCCTCAGGAATGGTGAGAGAAACCCGAGTACTTGCGGTGTCCCCCGCTCCCTCTCTCAGCAGCTGGTTTGGGGCTGGCACTTCCACACCAGGGCACCGGCTACTTACTACAGCTTGGCGCCTTGACCTTGTCGCTGGCTGTCAACTGTCTAGGATCCCACTCCCAAAATCCAATTTATTGGAGAGAGCTGAGTTCCAGAAACAGTCATAGAAAAACATTCAAGGAACCATGAGGAACCAGGCATGAACAGGAGTCTCAGCACACGTCAGCTTGGAGACAGCAGTCTGGGAGCTGGTTGTGATCCATGAAGTAGCCACTATTATTTCTCCCATTCGGCACAGGAGAAGACTGGGACTCAGAGAGGTTAAAAAGCTTGGCTGATGTCACACAGCCTTAAGTATCAGGGCTGAGAGTCAAATCAAGATCTGTCACACTCTAGCAAATCCTTCCTCTGCTACACGGCTCCCAGAGGGCTCTCATTTGATGCTGAGCCGGAGAGCTGAGCACGGGCTTGCATCTGTTTTAAGCAGAGAATGGGGAAAGCAATTCCTTGCTTTTCCTGGGTGTGGAGTCCTCATTTAGCTTTAGAGGAGAGATGGAGGAGAGTACACAGAAGCCACTCAACTCCCTAGAGCCTGAAACTGATGGGAGCAGGGCTGGGGTGAGAAGGGAGAGAGGTGGCCACTAGCGTGGGCTGTCCCCCGACTCTCATGGCTCTCCACTCTGAAATCTGAGGTGGAGAGGTGCAGATGGCATCTTAAGAACTGGATGAGCAGAACAGGGCTCTTTGGGGCCGAGGCTCAGGGACAGAGCACTTGCCTAGCATGTGGGAGGCTCTGGGTTCAGTTTCTGGCACCTCACTGCCCTCCCACGCTAAAAGAGCTCCAGGGTTCTTGGTTTAGAGCCTCAGGCACATCCGCCCTTTTCTGAGAAAAATAGTTGTCACTTTTTCAGCTTATTTTTTCTTTTTCTTTTCTTTTTTTTATATTTGTTTATTATGTATACAATATTCTGTCTGGGGGGCTGGAGAGATGGCTCAGTGGTTAAGAGCATTGCCTGCTCTTCCAAAGGTCCTGAGTTCAATTCCCAGCAACCACATGGTGGCTCACAACCATCTGGAATGAGGTCTGGTGCCCTCTTCTGGCCTGCAGACACACACACAGACAGAATATTGTATACATAATAAATAAATAACTATTAAAAAAAAAAAAAAAAAAAAAACAATATTCTGTCTGTGTGTATGCCTGCAGGCCAGAAGAGGGCACCAGACCTCATTACAGATGGTTGTGAGCCACCATGTGGTTGCTGGGAATTGAACTCAGGACCTTTGGAAGAGCAGACAATGCTCTTAACCTCTGAGCCATCTCTCCAGTTCTTTCTTTTTTTTCTTTTTTTTTTGGTTTTTTCGAGTCAGGGTTTCTCTGTGGTTTTGGAGCCTGTCCTGGAACTAGCTCTTGTAGACCAGGCTGGTCTCGAACTCACAGAGATCCGCCTGTCTCTGCCTCCCAAGTGCTGGGATTAAAGGCGTGCGCCACCACCGCCCGGCTTTTCTTTTTCTTTTTTTTTTTTTTTGGTTTCTTTCTTTTTTTTAAAATACTATCCTGGCTGTCCACCATGCAGACATACAAACCAGGTTGGTCTCAAACTCACAAGAGATCTGCCCGCCTCTGCCTTCCCAGTGCTGGGATTTAAGGTGTGCACAACTGGCAATTTAAAAATTACTTATTTTTATTTTTATTATTTTTATATGTATGAGTGTTTTGCCTGCAGGTATCAAAGTGTACTGTGTGTACCTCGTACCCCGCCCCCAGAAGCCAGAAGAGGGTGCTGGATCCCCTGGAACTGGAGTTAACTGTTGGTACTGAAACTGCTGAGCCATTTCTGCAGCCTCTGCGGCTTATTCATTGACCGGACTTTATCTACACAATGTCCCATGAGATGGTTTCATTGTGCTAACTGGATGAGTAGAAGCTGGTCTCTGACTGGCTCACTCTCATTTCTCATCTGTCAAACTAGAGCAGCAGTCCCTGCATCCGCGAGCTGATGACAAGATTGAACGAGTCTGTGAAGTGCTGGCACCACACACCGAGGGCTCCATAAATGTTTGCTGAATAAATGATGACAGTTGGTTCAGATAGGGGGCGTTAGTAGACCAAGGTCCCACAGCAAGTATCGAATTTGAAGGGGTTTTGCTCCTGAGTAAGGTTTTCAAAACATCATGCTTTTCTGGGTAGACTGGAGAAGAAAAGGAAGACAAGAAAGAAGAGGAGGAAGGGCAGGGGGAAAAGGAACAAATCCAAGGCTTTTGTCGTGTGGGAGGTGAGGGCTGCAGGAAACTTGGAGGAAGAGAAGGAGAACAAACTGTGCGCTTGTGTTCGTGTGTGTGGCACCCAGGTTAGGCAGGGTTGGGAGGAGTTAGGGTCGGGCTAGGGCAGGCCACTCTAGAGGGAAGCTCATTAGTGTAATTACGGCCAGCAGACAGAGCCCCACCCTGCTCCACAGGGGATTGTTACCTGTTCTATACAAGACAGTTTCTAAGACACGCGACAGGGGTGAGCTTACAGACCCCTTTTAGCCCTGGGTACTTTGCTTGCATTCTGTATCTCCCGGTCAAGCCATACCCAGCTTCCTGCGTCTCAGTGAGGGCAGCTCTTTTCCTTCCTCCCCTAAAAGGTCTGACCAGGTCCTGAGCCGTGGCTTCCGGGTCGTCTTGGGTGGGCTGGGCAGGTCTGGTGTAGAGAATGGGAACAATCCCAGCAAGTCTGCCTTGAACTGAGCTGTCTCCAGGAGTGGCCCATCTGGGCAGGGCAGGATCAGGGAAGGTTTTAGGGCAGGGCTGTGATTTAGTGACTGTCTCCCAAGGGTGACACCGAAATCAGAGAGGTTTTGGAGTTAGGGCTGTGGGTGACTAAGGTCCCTTGTGGCGAAAGGTACATCATGGGACTAAGATGGGAACAGGTTCTGAGGCCAAACAAGAGATTTGAGATTTCATCTTTAACCACCTCTTTTCTTCTTTAGGCTTTTTAGCTTCTTTCCCAGAAATGTCTAACATCAGGGTCAGACTGGCGAGGGAAGCATTGAACTCCTGTGTCTTATGCTTTTGGTCCAGTCCAGTGAATCTGTCCCCTCTGCCTCAATTCCTTCATCCTGGCAGAAGACAGGCTGAGGGCTGGAAAGGCTTTGAAGTCAAAGATGAAAGAGACAAGTGGATGATTGTGCACAACTAAAAACACCAACCCTAATAACCTCGGGGTTTCTGTGGGTGGGGGTGGGGCCTTGAGGGAGGTGGGGCCTAGGATGGGAGGAGCTGACTGCAGACCTGAGCCGAAGGGCCTCCCTCTCACTAAACCAGGAACTTAGCTGCAAAGGACTAAGGCAGCCTAGGGAATGTGAACTCAAAACTGCCATCTTGAAACTTGAGGCCCTGATTCTTTCTTTCCTTTTTAATTTTTTTTTTTTTTTAACTTTTTGAGACAGGGTTTCTCTGTGTAGCTCTGACTGTCCTGGAACTAACTCTGAAGACCAGGTTGTCCTCGAACTAACAGATCCACCTGCCTCTTCCACCCCCAGTGCTGGAATTAAAGGTATGTGCCACCAGGGACCTGCTGAGGCCCTGATTCTTGTGTGTTTTAATTTTGTTTTGAGGCAAGTTCTCACTCTGTAGGCCAGGCTGACCTTGAACTCACTTTGTAGGCAGACTGGCCTCAACTCCCAATAACCTCTCTCCTCCCTTAGACTGCTGAGATTATAGGCCTAAGGGCCCACATTCAGCTGAGCTAGGTAGGATTGCCTTGGAAAAGCCTCAGGGACCTTAGCATTCAGACCCAAATACCCTCCTATGCTTTTAAAGGTAGGTCTTGGGTCCTGGCAAGCAGGCCACCCGCTTCTTCTTCTTAAAGAGGGTTGGGATATGGGGGAGGGGGCGCTCCCACCCCTCTATGGACTTGGCACTAGAAAGGAGTTAATTATAGCGTCCTCCAGGGAGATGGTAGAGGCTAGTTGGTGGCAGGGTTCAATATCAGAGAATTTGGATTCAGTCTTCTTGTGGCTGGGTGTTGGCCGGGCTCTTCCAGGTCTCTGACAGTTATCTGGGGCCTTCTGACTGGGGCCACAAGGTTTAGCCTTGCCTGCTCTGGGCAAGCAGGATGTGGACTCTTCAGCTGGCTCAAGGTACAGTTAGAACACAGGAATCACACAGGCTGGCAGAATGTGGAGCCTATGTGTTGGGGTCCTGAGTCTGAACTGTATTGGGGTGTCCCCTGGAGTTGGAGCAGTAGTCATAGAAGGGCAGATCACCTGCTAGAGACAGGTGGGTGACAGACATTCATG